AATTTTACTACTATAATATTCTACTAGCTTTTACTGACACCTCGAGAATAGGCGACCCTGCTAAATCTAGAGACAGTTTATAGCATGGATACTAAAATTAAAATCAGCATATATTAAATTAGTTATACAAATCGAAAAAGTAAGAATGTAGTTATACTTTAAATTCCGTGGCAACTTGTTCAGATGTTTTCGTCCGTGTGTTTATTCCATTAACTTCAAGGATAATATCACCGATATGAATAAGACCACTTCGATCAGCTGCAGTTCCTTTTAGCTGCAATAGTGATAATAGAGCTTAGTAAATTTCTGGCGCGCATAAAAATGGTCAAATGTAAAAATGTAGCAGATTCGGTAAATCAACAAAAATTAAAATTCTCAGCTTAACTGTATAATCCACACAATAATTTCATGATAGCAGAAATTAGCCTAGGGACAATTAGAGCGATAAATTCGTAATTTTGGCTGATTCATTTATTGTATCAACTGATTAACCAATCCTCTATAATCGTAAATATATGAGTAGTCTTTCCAACTATAATCAATATAAACAAGCCTTGATAAATACCTGTGCAAAAGACTAAGTTGTAACATAAATATAAATTTTACGTCTGAATAGACATGACCATGTGTAATTACAGAAGCGCAAATGTAAATCTGTAAATATATTTAAGAATACATAATTATGTATTAAATTGCCACATATTCGTGCTTATTAGGCAATATTAATTTTAATGTATAGTCTCAATTTCATGGGAGGAAATAAGAAATCGACAGAAGATTAGTTGAAGTACAATTAGTTTAGAAGAAAAGGCTTCTCTCTTTCTTAGTTGGTAGAATATATATATATACATATTTATATTCTACCACCTAAGTAACGGCCTATTTCATATCTAAATTGTATAATTAGACAGGGAAGTGATACGACTATTAACCCATCAGGACTCCATAAAGCCTCATGAAAAAATGAGAAAGACATGAAAATCTTTACGAACCAGGAAAATATAAAACTAAGGATTACTAACCACATCGCTGATGATCGTTCCTGGAGCAGCAATACCACTTGGCCGATCAACCAGTGACAAACCTAGTACGCGGCCAGCTTTGCGATCCAGAGAAACCTCAAAAACCTCGAGCAAATCATCTTCAGTGAGTGGCTTAGGGTCACGTAGCACCTTGAGACGAACGTGGTCTTCAGCAGAGCGAATGATCTAAATAAAATGAATACTAAGAGTTGATTCACCAATTGACTGCAAATATCAAGAAAAGCGTCCGCACTTTTAAAGGACTACATCGCCCATAATTATATTGCAAATGTAAAATTTATAAATGCGCCAGAGAACCAATGAAAAATTTCATAAGGTTAATTTAGCCTCTGAATTCATCTGAACTATCGTAGAAAGATCAGCCTGTTGCATAAAAATAAAGGCAAGAAAAATGATAAGTGTAATCATGCGTGATTCAGAGCTTGTACGAATAAGCCCCAATAGAACTTTCAACAGGTCTTTTTATCTATTAAACTAACACTTAGGATGTTCAGATGATAAAATCGGCAAGATTGTTGCGAAGAAGGTTAACGAGGTTCATTGCAAGAGTGGTATAAGGCCTAAAATGTATTTATTAAATGTGAGTTAAGTGACTAAAAGGTAAGCTAAATCATTCTATATGCAGGCAGTAACCTGGTATAGAACACCTGTATTTGGGGGCCAAAGGGCGAAGATCAGTTAAGTTCCACTATAACGTACAGTTTTTAGTTTACATATACTAATTTTATCATAAAATACTAGGTAATAAGTTCATTAATATTTCCTGTCATAAATTGATTTAAGCCAAATCAACATTTAATCTAGATCTCAAACATTGGACTGCGTAATATGCAAAAATATAAATTCTGACGACCATGGAAAACGAGAACAAGGGATAGAGCGCCATAACGTGTCTTGTCAGAGTAACATAATCGTTAATAAAGAATTCGAGAATATTCTGACGGTCAGACAAAACAACAAATACGGTTAATCAACAAATAAGATGAAATAAAATTTGCAAACTGACCCTGGTCGCAGTCTCGTGATCAGCTTTGCGTATATCAACGCCGTTGACCGCTAATAGGCGGTCGCCAGCCCAAAGCCTCCCATCAAGTGCGGCCAAACTATTCTCGTGTACTTCATGGATCCTTATATTTCCCTAACAGCGATGATAAAATCCAAGGAAAGCAAGCAAACAACGATAAGCATGGAAAATTATTATATAATTGCTAAAGCAAATAATAAACAATATATTTTAAAGGTATCATATATATATACAGTTTTCAAAAGAATTCTACTAGTTAAAGGTCAAAATAATTTGTATTTGGTCTAAGTGTCGAAAAGAGAAGTTAATAGTTTGCAATTTTTGATGGATTAATGCTCTAGCTTAGAGAGCTACCAAAACATAAAATAATGTCCTCTAGAAGCTTAACCTAAATCAGTTTTTCATATCTATACAAAAAGGAACAATGCAAATTTTCAAAAAAAAACACTAGAATATCACGACTAAATTTATACAAAAAACATAAATTTACGCATAATTGACAAGAACAGCTGTTTTATGAGATTCATAGGATATATTTACCATATGATGATGACTAGTAGAAACGCACAACTAAAAACCTATTCTGTGTAGTAACATTTTTTAAGTTCAGACAACAAACATGACTGCGAAATCTTTGGAACAGGGTTAATCTCAAGGAGGAGACTAGTGGAATAAAATTGGGAGATATTGCTAAACTTTGAAAAGCATAGATAGGGAAAAACTATGCTTAAACATGCTTCAGATGCATAATTAAAGGATGAATATATTCAAAGAGTTAGTACCAAATCCAGTAAATTTTCCACGTAGAGACAATAAATCAATAACTTAAAATCAACTGAACTTGCTTCGTCTCAATGTAACTTGTTATAATAATGTGGACGTCATCAGAAATAAAAGAACAAGAGGCTAAAATAAAATAAACCCACGAGTACAGTATCCTGCCCGCCAACAATGGAGAAACCGAGGTCTTTGCCAGGCTTTTTGACCAAGTCAATCACAGTCTCGACGCCAGGCACGAGTGGAGTTTTTCTGTTTCTGGAAAGATCTTCAGGCCGTCCAGCTCCTAGGCTCTCAATCGCCTCGGCCTGAGGGTTATAAGCACCAGAGGCAGGTTTATGGCTGGGCTGAAGAGGAGCTATGGTCG